TACGCCCTTGAGGCTTGTGGTTGTGAACAAAAATGACGAGTTACTAACGTGTGAGTACTTCATGTAGTAAAGTGAAAAAAATAAAAGCGTCATGTCTTTTTGTGAAAATGGCATTAAGCCTCAGAGTGTATTTTGTAATCAACTCAAATGTTCAGAAAACTATTTCTCAATGAAAGATTAGAGGAAAAGTGATATATACATGCTATTTTAATGTGTTTGTAATATGGTAAATGATCAGAATTCTCAAGTTGAACTAACATAAGCAAAGCTTGTTCTTTCAGGTACCGTTTGGTACGTGGGACGAGATGGAATTGAGTGGGACGAGGCGTTCCGTCTCACGTTTGGTGCGCCTAAAACAGGTGGAAGGCGCTGTTCCACTGGACGAGTTTTGGATGAATTTTCGTTCCGGCTCACCCCCTTGGAACGACTTGTTCCACATTCGTGGAACACAAAATTATAACATTTTAAGACAAAAATGCCCCTCTCCCATTGTCTCTTTCCTTATATCTCAACCTCTCCGTCTCCTTCTTCTTCCTCCTCGCTTCCATCCGAGCCCTAGTTTTCCACGACATCTTTCAATATTCAGAACATGGGGAAGCCATCCAAAGGCAAGAAATCTAAGAATTTGGGGAAGGGAATGGTAACCCCCATCCAAATTGCCTTCATCATCGACTGATACCTCTGCGACAACAACTACTTGGTAACCCGCTCTCTTTTCAAAATCGAAGCTTCGTCCCTCATTGCCAAATCGCCAATTCGAGAGGTACCCACTTGATTTTTTCCCAACGATTTGTTCGAAATCGGTTTGAAAGATTTCTTATTTGTCTGATTTGGGATTTGCGTTTTTCTGTTTATTGCAAGCGCCGAAGAGTTTGCTGAGCGTGATGAACAACCGGCTGTGGCAGAAGCCCTACAGTCTCTGTACCTTCGGCTGTGGCTCTGCAGTCATTCAATCTTTTGGTTCCATTTCGTCCAATGCGTACCAAACGCAGAGCTGAACAACCATCATGTTCCATCCTGCGTGTACCAAACATACACTAAACCTCTATTCTGTCCCGTCTAGTCCATCCTATTCCGTTCCGTCCCGTCCTGTCTGTGTATCAAACAGTACCTCATGATCTAAGTATTTATCAGCTAACATGACCTTAAGTACTGTCACCCTGACCTGAGGTCAATAAAGCTGCCCATGACCTGAGACCATCGGGAACTCCACGAGCTTGATGACAAAGATGAAGAGAGATTGTTTGCGCGCTGCTCCTTGTAGCGTACAAATGGTGTATCATTCTTAGCAGAAAGATTACAAGCGTAGCGAGAGTGAAGGCGCCACATTTAATTGTTAAATTTAATTCAATTATTTAAATTGAGTGATCAAAGATTGTTAAATCACACTTAATGATCAAATTTGTATCATCACTTATCGTCTATAGATACTTAAGAAAAATTAAACCGTGTACTCTATATAGGCCATGTGATCACAACCTCGGGCATGTCCAAAATATAGGTTGCATTTTTCACTTGTTTGTTTCTCCAATGAATTCAAGCCCCCAAAACTTGGACAATTGTATTTATCCACAATTTCTAACATGTGGTTAGCTTAGCTCTGCCTTGATGAATACTCAAATTGTTGGTTATTGGGAAAGAGGAAAATAGAAAAGGCAATTTAAGGCAAGCTGTTTTGTGCATTCAATTCTTGGGGAGCCGCTGTCCATACCAATTTCGGGGTCTTAGTTTTTTTTACTGTCTTGTGTAGGTTTAAAGAGTAAGGTTACTATTGTAGTTCGACGATCAAATTTTATGTGTAGTTGGACTAGTTTAATCTATTATTAGTCTTTTATTAAAATAATATAAAAAGAATCCTTTCCTTCATTGACACGGGAAGTAGGACCTTTAATCTGGTACCAAGGTAGAACAGAAGAAAATGGCCACTAGATAGAGGGTATTAAATTTGTGAACAACCATGCAAGGGGTGGGGCACACTAGACGGTGTAAGCGACAAATACACTACTTTATTTAATTAATGTGAGTAAGGAGATTTTGGCCTTGGTGCAATAGGACGGACACATCACTATATCTTAATGACCTAGTCACAAGTATAACTAATAGGGAGATTCAAACTTGTTGCAAGAAAACAAATATATTGCTCTAACAAACTAACAAAACCCAATTTTGTGCGGGACAATATAATTTTGTACTTTGATTTTAGTTATGGCAAATATAAAAAGAGTTCTTGCATCTACCAAAGTTTTGGAAAACAACTACAAAGACTAGGCTCTAATGCCACCTCCTCCACTAAGTCGTTGATTAGATTAGACTGTATGATGACAACAAATAAAATATTGAATGGGAATTAAAAAAAAATCTTAGTTTAAAAAAATCAAAATAGGGTAGTGCTTTAGACACATTTATTTTTACTTCTTACACATATTTTTTAATTTTCAATCGTCGGCTTAAATAAATTAAAGATGATCGTAGAAAAAAGAAATTAACAAGAGTATATATGAAATAAAAATGAATGCGTAAATAACATTATCCTCAAAACATCTATCATGCACACACTCTTCTCTAAAGTTTAAAACATAACAAAAACCAATCCTTGATAAGCTTATTTGAAGAATCTCCCAACAGAACGGAAGGGAGTGACAAAAACCCTAGGCAAAAATGAATTTATGGCAAACCTTTAAGCAAAGCATGATTAATTAAGGTGAATAATCAGTATTTTCCAGACAATCTTCCATAAAAAAGAAGCCAACGTGTAGCATGTGTTCCACTCACACTACTTGTGTTATTTTTTGGGTTTTTGCTATTATTTTGTTCACACGACACTTGGTCATATTTTCTACGAATTTGAAAGGTCGTTGGCTGCACAGTTGCCACCTCAAAGTGCAACAAAATTACAAAATATCTGAGACTAAGCCAAGTAATTCCCCTTCTTTTCTCCACAACGGACACAAACGTTCTTTTCTCCACAAGAAACAAAAACATCAACATAACTCGACCTGAAATCACCCACCTCTTTCAACATTGGTTTAATAAGTCACAGGCGTGACTACTTTGTGTCACTGTCACAAGAGAAACTTGTATGATGCTTGGCGCTTCCACTGCAGATATATTTTTTATTGTTAAGAGATCTAGCCTTGCAAGGTCATTGTGACATTCTAAGCTAATAATATAATGTTACATATTTAAAGTGTTTCATATGATTTCACATCATTGATTTGAGACATCGCTATTTTAAAATTCTTATTTAGCTTGTTAAGAGAATAACTTACGTAAAAAAGTCAGATAAAATTTTTAAATAAAAATATCTCAAACTAATCACGTGAAACCACGAACTTAAAACACATGATATCATGTTATTGGTTCAGATTAGTATAATAACTTTCCAGATGTGTAGGTAAGTTGTTCTCTGTTGAGACCATCTCCAACTTTTAGGAATAGAACTTAAAAATTTAAGCTAGAAAATTTTAAGCCATAACCTATAAACTGTTTTTCTTCTTCAACCTTTATAGCTTAAAATTTTAGTCCAAAATTATTAAATAATAATTTTAGCTTTTTTTTTTTTTGGGGTAACTTTTTTTAAAATAAAATTTATGTAGATTCCCTTAATTTATTTTTATGAACATTTTAATCTAAAAAATATTTAAATTTCGATAAGTAATTAAAAATCATACAAATATATAGGTATTTATAAAGTTTGATTTACATAATTTTTTTAAAATATTTTAGACAACTGATTTAATTTTGGGCCGTCAAATCTGTTTTTTAACCATTAGTTTTGATCTCATTTGATCGTAACCGTTAGATTATAAGTAAAAAACAAAAAACAAAAAAGGTTTGAAATATGATAGTTTTATAGATCCAAAATAATTTAAGCCAAACTTAAATTCTAAGGGAAGTTTAGCTCAGAAATATATTTTCTCTTTAGTTTTATTTTAGGCCAATAGTTAAAAGATGATACAGAAGGCTTTTAAAAACCATATTTTAAACTTTATCCTATAAATTGGATATGGTCTACCAGATATTTTCCAGATCTGTGGACAACAAGAATCAAAATATGTAGTTGGACAAGTCAAACACGACAACAGTATCCAACTTCAGTAAATGTAAAGGTGATTGGTAACTTTTCAGCTGTGTGTATGCCAAAAAGCATATTGCCACGTCTGCACCAACCAAAGCCATTCTTAAACTGATATGTAGTTATAGAATACAAAAGTGTCAATCACGACATGTTTCACGATGTGTATTTAACTAACTCATTGAAAAGCGATTAACGCTTTTCAACTAATACACATTACTAAGATGTTAACTTTTCATATTTATCGTAAATAATACGTATATCTTATTATGTGTATTAATCAATTTGTAGGCTAACAGAAACACAATAAATATATATATATATATATATATATATATATTGGTGAATATTTAATACAATCACCCATTGATGGACATACTTGTTTTTAGATGTCATTACAACATATATAACCGTTATTGACGAATACACAAAGTACATGAATGTATATAGCCTAGTCCCGTGAAAGGGAAGTTTTATGCTTTTACTTTTTGTTGGCCGGGAAAATCTAGCCATGTGCAAAGCAGAAATGACTGCCGATAACGGCAGCAATAAAGGCATAACACCACAGCATCAACAACAGTGGCGACATCAGAATCCAGGATACTGCATGTTAAATTATTCCTTCTTGAACGATGAACCTTATTAGAACGGAAACCCATCTCTCTTAACAATGTTTCTGACAAAACCAATTGGCAAAATTCAAAGTTGCCAGTAAAATTCCATAAGCCAAGAAAATTTTAGACCTAATTACAAAATACGCCCCTGAGGTTTAGTTGTGAAAAAAAATGACTTGAGTTATTAACGTGTGAGTACTTCTTGTAGTAAAGTGAAAAAAATAAAAACATCCTGTCCTTTTTGAAAACGACACCAAGTCTCAGGGTGTATTTTATAATTAACTCAAATGTTCAGAAAACTTTCTCAAAGATTAGGGGAAAAGTGATATATACATGCCATTTTAATATGTGTTGTAATATAGTAAATGATCAGAATTCTAAAGTTGAACTAACATAAGCAAGCTTGTTCTTTCATGATCTAAGTATTTATCAGCTAACATGACCTTGGGTACTGTCACCCTGAGTGTACATTTTTTTTATTGCTTCTTCCTTCTCGTCGATGAAGCCAACAAAGTTCATGACTTGAGACCATCGAGAACTCCAGGAGCTTGATGACAAAGGTGAAGAGAGATGGTTTGCGCGCTGCTTCTTGTAGCGGACAAATTGGTGTATAACTCTTAGCAGAAAGATTACAAGCGCAGCGAGAGTGAAGGCGCCACATAATAGGTATAGACCCCAGAAGCTCATCAAGTGGAGTTGATCAGACTCGTCGGACTTCTTGTCACTGAGACAACCCATCTTGCAGAACCATTTCTCATGAATCTTCTGAAGTGTTCCACTCTCCGAAAGTTTCAAGATTGCAGAGGAAATGTCAATAGCAAGGGGAGAATCTCTTGGAAAGGCCTAATTCATATAGTGAATAAAAATAAGAAAAGGCCATAACACAATACTCAGTAAACAAAACTTATAGAGAATAATCATAAACAATAATCATTTTAGAATTCAGATGTTCGTTTAAGTGAGCAACTACACCAGAAACGTAATATCTAATGTGAAAGACACAGGTACTTACAAATCCCCATCCGCTCCTCGTAAATGTGTCACCAATAATTCCGAAATCAGTTTGACTTGAAAGAAATAATTCAACATAAGTAAGCTCATCTATAATAGCTGCCACCCCTCCATCGTCCGGCCCTTTTCGCAGTGCAGTTTCATACTCCTCTGGGGAGCCTAGTGGAACAAGTCTCGACTTATGAATGTAGAGGCTATCAGTCAGATAGCTATAAGCAAATGACCCTACTTGGTAGCCTATACGCCAATTGCTTGCAATCAAACTATCAATTCCAGTGATGGGTATCGAAAGCTGCTGAACTGTAAGGATTGAAGTCAAGCTTGCAGTATAGCTTGATATGATCACCATCAATAGGAAAAGCCATATCACCATCACCATTCGCCCAAGCGGGCTCACAGTTTCTTCTTCTGTGATTGATAAGAAAGTAAATAGTTTACTAAAATGTGATTTGAAGGGGATGGTCGAACAGGATCAGTGCAGGCTAATTTTCTTCATTCTTTCAATAAGAATATGAACTAACAAGGAAACGGTTACATACTGCTAATCTATTTAAAATATGCAACTGGAAAACTAGTAATCTAACAGACGTGAACTTCACAAGCTAACTTGTAGGATTCATGTTAATAAGAACTATTAGACAGCAGAGCCCAAATATTTGCTTACGAGTTTTCTTAAATAGGGTTGAAAAGCTGAACCTGCAATATGAAAGGATCGAATGATGTCAGAACCACATGATCGGTTTAGTTAAAAGAAGTACATAATAATATCTATTTGCAGTAATGATATCGTACTCAAGATATTAATCTTCGAGAAGAATTGCAATGAACTCCATTTACAAAATACAGAAAACTTACGTAAAGATTGTAGCGAGCTGCCTCTTAGGGGGACCCCGAAAATCTCTGTTGACTCGATGCTCAAGAACCCACATTACCACAGCAATTAGCACAAAGAAAGATGCAGTCACGCACCACATCTCCAATGAAAATGGTTTGAGAAACACCCAAGCATTTGACTTTGAATTGTCAATAGGTGCCACTATCACTAGCCCGGTGATAACATAGGGCTGAGAAAAATCCACAATCATTGTCCGGTTTTTCACAATTGCAATGTCCCCAACAGCTGCATCAAACACCTGGTGCAAAATGTCAATTAGAAGATAAGATAGATACCATGGGCACACCACTTCTATTTAAAGTTTCAGAACTTGACATTGTATTCTTCAGAGTTATTTGCATGTGTTGACTCCTATTCACATCATGTTTCCATGTTTGGCAAGTAATATCACCCCAAAAACCAGTCACATTTTAAGTTTTCTTTGGATTGACCAAATCTAAACTGTGTAAAGTTTACTTACGTTTTCTGCAACCATCTTCACAAGCTCACCATAATCGGGATTGGACCGGCCATCACCAAAAGGTTCAAATCTGTAAGGAACAGCATACGGGACTAACTTCAGTGCTTCATTGAACACATCAATGCAGTATCCTTCGATTTTATGGCTGTTGTTCCGTTCTGTAACAAAATCAACAAAGCTTGCTCTTTTTGGAACTCCAATTCTCAATGGTTTTTCATTATCTGCAATCTCCCAACCGCGTGGCCTTTCTGTATTTCCACCAGGCCATGTGACATTGTCAAGCTTCTGATCCAGTGGAGAATAGCTACTTCTTCCCCTATTTAGAGTTTCCGGGGGAGAAACTGAAAAACCTGAATAATAAGTCCAAAAACCAACCGTACGAATTTTCATCTGATCAAAATTAATGATATCATAAATGCCACTCGCACGGCTTCTGTCTTTATCAAATTCAACGTGACCAGTTAAACCACTCATATGTGTCTCCAATAACTTCTCACGAAGAAGAGATCCACCATCAAAGACTTTAAGCTTGCCCAGCTGAATTTGAGATGGTCTTATGTCAAGTAATTTATCAAGGACAGAGAATGAGATATTTCTGTTTTCATTGATAAAATTTTCAATCGAATGTGCAACAACCCAAACTGTGTCATAAGCATAAAGTCCATAGACATTTAACTCAGAACTTGCTAAACCGTCTTGCTGCATTTTTTTCCACCTAGACATAAATGCACGCTTTCTACTGGACTCTGGGATATGCTTACGTAAAGTAACTACACCTTGAAGGGCAGTGAGTGAAGTTCTGTTCATTGAGAGAATGAATCTACTGTAGTAGAAAGCCAATCTGTTGCAAACCACACATAATTGCTTGTCATCATATTAAGTTCTTTGGCGACAGTAAAGATTCTCAACCTAGGATCGGGATCAACATGAACAATATAGACACGAGGGCCAAGAAATCTGGATTTATTGAGCAAATCAGCAATGTCATTTAAATTATAATGGACAGGCAAAGCCAAGTTATGAGAAATCCTTGACATTGTTTTGTCAAGTTCATCATGTAAAGCAGATATTCCATTCCTCCCATAATCGTCATCCACAAAGACAGCAATAACCTCTTTCCACCCATAAAAATCAATCAAACCAGCCATAGCAGCCATTTGGTGAGCATCGCTTTGTGTAGTTCGGAGAAAGAATGGGAATTGGAGAGCAGAAAGAGTAGGATCAGTGGCAGCATATGAGACAAGAGGTACTTTGAGACCATTAGCAATTTCAGAGATCATATAAGCCATTGAAGAGGTCTGTGGTCCAATTATGGCTACTATACTTTTGTCAAGCACCTGAAAAGCTGCTCCCAAAAAGTGAGCCATTAAGAAATGTGGGTTACATTGATTGCAATTCAGAGTGAAGTTCAATATCAAACATCCCAAGAGAGGATACGAAGTGCAACATATGGAAATATTAAAAGGAAATTAACTTTAAAACTAGACGCGGTGCCATTGAAAATGTATATGAAAGACAAGAAAAGAGCTCATGAAGGGCTAATAGTGGTGAAAGAAATCTTAAACTAATCAGAGCAGGGGTGAGAAAATTAGCGATTGATTCCACGTGTTTTGGAACTTCAAATCTACAACAAATACAAGAGGTTTCCACATAATATGGAGTCATAGCAACCTGAGAATATCCTAAATATCGTCTTACAACTCACAAGCGCTTTTGAAGTACCAAGGAACTCTAGACTCAATTATTAAGATGTACTACAAGAACACTAGCGATGAACTACTCAATCATTGCAAAACTACCACTAAAACACTATAAAGCACTAAACAAATGACTTTCCAATGACACCTTTCAAGGAATCACTTGAAAGTTCCCTCAAATGGATTGCATAAAGTCATTTTCAAAACCCTCCATCCAAATTTTGTTCTACATTCCTAACAAATTTGAATGTCCCTCGTCCGAATGCACCATAACAGTTGCTAAAATCAAAATTTCACCCTAGAAAAGAACAACCACTACAGCTATAAACTGGAACAAGTAATGATATTCACACGCAGAAGCAACAATACCGATCAATTAAGTACCTTCAACGGATCCCAAGAACACATTAGAATTTGTATTCTCCTTAAGCAACCTCAGCTCCGTCCCACTGAGTATACTTGGATCTGCATTAACATCAGAGAGTGCAGCTTCCATGGCTGTCTTTGCAACTCTACCAATAACCGAGTTAAAACTAAAAATTGCTCCAATATTCACCACAGAAGGCTTCTGGCAGTAAAAACAGCTAGTGAGGAAAACCCATATCAGAAATTGCAGTGGCAAAACTACAGCACCCCTCATTTTTTTTTTCCCTCTGCAGCAATTCCTCACAGTAAAGTCTCAAACTTTTCTAACACCCATGTTTCAAAAGCTTCATATAATCAGTAAATATGGCATGAAAACACAGGATATTCAGCAAACTTTGGATAAAGATTGAGGAGGAAAGCTTTATTGCTTGATCAGCGAACTACCCAGTTGAGAGCACTCATTGGTGAACTGAAAAACCATAGAAAGTTGGTAAATTTCACCTACAAATTATTGATTTCCAGAGAAATTTTCAGTTCAACTTCACAGAACTGAATTTTTTTTTAAGTCCAACTGTTGAACAGTTGAAGGAAGGAATTTGTGGTGGTTGAATGATTGAATTTGGCAGTGCAAGCGAGGATGATGTTGGACAACATGAAAAAAAAGAATCACACTTGGATGGAAGAAGCACCAGGTCCACTTCCAATGTAATATTCTCAAAGCTCATTATTTTTCTCAGGTTTTGGGTCTTTTATGGCCATGGAATTTTGAGAGCCTCACATCACCTAGTGGAGTACGTGAAGGATAACAAGATCCCACCTGGCAAGAAAATAGGATAGTTGACAGTGATATCCTATATAGGCCAACATGATTCTCTCGTATTCTTTTGGTGAAGACATCGTGTTCGTTCATCATAAATTATGTGATTAGTTTTTATCAGGTACTATTTGTGTTTGATTTTAAATAAAAATATTTAAAATGATTTTTGACTGCACAATGTACGATGAACGGATACGATTCATAGATCTCTGAAATCCTTACCAAAAGAATCCGACGAGAATTCAAATCCCTATATAGGAGGTTTCTTATCAACATTTAGTGTTTTTTTATGACTTTCACACATCCTTTATTCTTTTACATTTTTCTTCTTTTCTAAGAGTGCGAGGAGAGAAAATAGAATCAGTGTAGGTTTTTTTTCAATTTTCGATCCTCGAAATAAATAAATTGAAAAAAATCAATTAACAAAAATCAATATAAACGTAGCTGCATAAGCACATTGACCAATTGTCCACTCACCTTATTTCACTTTAAAATGTTTTACCAACAAGAAAAATGAAAATTTTATTAGAAAATGCTTTTGTCTTTTGGGCTCCTACATGGATCTTATAAGTTGTGCTTGGCTTGGGAAATCCCAAGTTTGGAGGGTAGTTTGGTAATTTTAGCAAGTGGGTGGGAACTGGATAACAAAAGCTTCATCCTTTCTTTTCAATCTTGATTGTCCAGAGAAGCAGAATACAAAAAGCTCAGCAGCTGATGCTCTCATGCTCTTGAAAACAATGGCCTCTTCACTCACCTCATCTTTCCAAACCAGGTCAGCTCGCAATTTACTTTTACTTTTTCTATGCCGCTCTCTAATTCAAGCATTTGTTTTCTGTTCCTTCTCTTTTGGGTGAAAATTACTTGTAATAATTTGTAAAGTTTGAATCTTTCTGACAATTTGAAGCATTTTTCAAGAAGATTAAAATAATGGGTTGTGGGAATCGCAGGATTTTATTATATTTTCAGGTGATTATTTTATTAAGTAGAAAACTGTTTTTGTGACATCCCACATCGTCCAGGGGAGTGATCCTTGAATGTATATTCCTATCCCTACCTAGCACGAGGCCTTTTGGGAGCTCATCGGCTTTGGGTTTCGTAGGAACTCCGAAGTTAAGTGAGTAGCGCGCGAGAACATTCCCAAGATGGGTGACTCATCGAGAAGTTCTCGTGTGAGTTCCCAGAAACAAAACCGTGAGGGCGTGGTCGGGGCCCAAAGCGGACAATATCGTGCTACGGTGGTGGAGCGGGTCCGGAAAGTGGTCCCGCCTGGGCCGGGATATGACAGTTTTAAGCATAAAAAAAATGCACATCCGTAGAATTAATCTAGAGGTAGAAGACGATGGCCTGTATTGTAACCCTACCTTAGTTTCACATTCAAACGGTGCCGTTTCAATTTCATGGCCAACCACTGGCCCCATTACACCCCACATATGGAAAGGTATCAAATTTATAAAGAAAATTAATGAAAAAAGTTTGAAAATTTTGAATTTTAACGATAAGAACAAAATAAACGGTAAAATGAATAGTACTAGTATCAACTTTTTAGTGTAAAAATGTGTTTTTCGTTAAATTAAACAGTATCGTAAGTTTTTTCGTTCAAACTCCCAATTTATAATGTAGGCAACAAAGGCAAAGCTGACGTAGGACAACGGCCTAATGATATTTAAATGAGATGTCTCAGATTTGATTTTCTCTAAAAATGAAATTAAACTACATTATTACTAGCTAATTTTGAGCTTAACCCATTCTTCATCCTTTTTAATGTAAATAATATCATATTTTAGTGCATTTGCCTCAGCTGAGGGCAGTGTTGGTTTCTTAGGTCTCAAATTTGGGGAAAGGTCCAAACTTGAACCGGATTCATGAGTTTTTCAGACACCCAATGGAACATAAGAAACTAATGTTTGCACTGTGTTATGTTTTTGAAGTTTTGTTACTTTGTTCTTGGGTTTCAAATTTTGGAAAAGGTCCAAACTGGAAATGGATTCATGAGTTTTTCTGAAACCCAGGGGATCATAACGAATTAGTGGTTGGATTGTGTTGCTATGTTTTGAAGTTTCCGTTACTGTTCTCCAGTGTTTGGAGAAGGCCGAAACTTTCACGAATTTCAGAAAACCCAATGGAACATAAGAACTTAGTTTTTAAATTGTTTTGTTATGTTTTTGAAGTTAACATTAGAGTGGATTATTTCTGGTTTAGTGAAGATCCTTTTTGCTATCATGTTTCAGCAATTTGCGGTCTGCTTTTTTGGGCGAGAGAAACGGATTCTTTGTTTGTAGCGTATCTGTATCTCATGTCAGGTTTTTGAAGAAGACAATAGAGTGTAAGGAATCGCGAATTGGAAAGCAGCCAATTGAAGTACCATCCAATGTGACAATCACTTTGGAAGGACAGGCTTTGGTAGTAAAGGGACCATTGGGGCAGCTTTCACTAACTTATCCGCGAAGTGCTGGTTCAGAAGGAGGATTCTGGGGCTCTAAGGGTCAGAAAGACAGTAGAGACTAGTGTAAGAACAACCCAAGTTCATATGAGCATGCTTTGCTAGGTCACGATCAAACGTAATGAGAAAAGCTTACCTGGTGCAGCCATGGTGGTTGTTAATCGTACACAAGAGCTCTGAAGAAGACATGGTTAGTTACACAAGGAATCCTTCTACTCACTCAAGACCTTTCTATTCTTATAGTGATAGAACCCTGTGTCGAAGAATGTCTTCTTGGTGAGCAGGGAACTCCTACATGTATAGAAACAACTGCCAACTCCCATCTATCATGGGTGAGTTGGTTATTGTCCCGTTGTATCAAGTTCAGTGGAAAAAGGGTTAGGGGAAGGCAGTTGCATCCCAAACATTTCGAATGTGTTTCCTGAATTATAGGACGTTAGGTTTCCATGTATCAAACTCTTATTGAAGTTGTATTATCCACATGTAATTCCACCTTTATCACAAGTAGTTAAGTTCATATAAGATTCTTACATTCTCCCATATGGACGCTAACTAATTGTGGTTTTGAAATTTCATGTACTACATAACTTCATTCCTTAGTGATCACTTGAGTTCTACGTAGCTAGCATCTATACACATTGACCAGTAATCATTTGGAGTTTGAATCTCAGGAAATAATGCATACAATAATGTTGCATTCACTCTGAAACCACAATCCACAAATTCATACCGTATAATGCTAATGATGACATACATTTATACACATTCTAAACACGTTTCTTGATGCATACCCATTTCATTCCCATTTATCCAGTTTACCTTTATTGATTGAAAGTGGTTTGCCATCTTCAATCACTAGATTCCTTTTCCATTTTCCTGCATAATAAAACTCAATCAAATGTTCTTTGGAACAAAGATCAGACATTTTATTGCAAGTCATAAATTAAAACCTCATACATTTAGCAATGACAAACTTAAAGCAAGTAAACTGAGCAAAAGTAAAACATACGTTAGATTGTTACTCCCACACTTCAATGGAACCCAAGTTGTCATGCACTCTAGAACCACAAGTATTTAAACCCAAACTGTTTGATGTTTCCTTATACCATAAATGGATTTATCGTGCCTTTATTTAATCATACAAAACCCAGGTTTCTTCATGTATCGTCTTTGGATAGACACACCTCAAACAACATATTTCAATCTGCTATCTTTACGAATCAAAGATATAATAATGATGAAGTATCGCAACATTATCAAGCACTGAAATTGATTAATGTGTACAATACATTCATTGCATTTAGTTGACAGAATAAGAAACATGATTCAACAAGAGCAACATGAACACAAATACTTATGCATGTCAAAATGTCAATCTCACTCCCATATTTCCACTATTTGATATGTAACCTTATTGTATAAAGATTAAGAAAACAACCAAGATTTCAAGCCTTTGGACAAGAAAACAGTCAACTTAATTTTCTTACAAAAGTTATACCCTGAAAACATCTCAAACCATTTATACATTCCTCTCACATGAAACAACATCAAAATATGATATAAACATATTCGATCCTTTATCAAACTCCAATGAGTTTGCCTAATGCTTCCAATTAAGCCTCAATTCTGCCTTATGCAGATAATCTAGTTATTTAGTGAATAACCATGACATGCAATTTTATGTAACACCTTTGGGCAAGTGACATAAAATATCAGTTATGCAATCTTAATCACACATCCTTACTTGTATAGCTATTTCACAAAAATTTCAAGTTACAACTCAAATCATGTCTTTGGACAAGGGAACAAAGTCGGCTTAAAACTTTTATAAAATACTATACACTGTATCACAGTTCAAGCCATTCACTATTTCTCTCTTTTGAAAGATTGGTCTCATGTAATGAACTGTCATCACAAAATTCAATTAAGGATCCCTTGAACAAAATTTCTTAATAATTCCCACTTTGGTGAAGATTTATTTAAACATTTGTTCAAGTATAGAGATTATTAGTGTTGATATCTTGTATAAAACTTTAGCATTTCAATTTGATTGTAGAAATCATTCAAATGTCGAATGAAAAATCAATTTTCTACATAAGTAAAATCTAATTATAGATTATTTTCACATATATCAGGTTCAACCTTGCAACCTACCAGCCATATTCAAGTTCAACATAAATCCCAATCTCCACTCCCCTTTGCTTTAACATACATACACAACATCGAGTTCAAACTAAAATGAAAAGGTTTTGATGTGTTTACGCGCTTGCTTACCAATTAAATCATGCTCACATTTCATATGCACAATAAAATATATTGCTTTACCACATCAATGCTAGAGTGAGATTTAGAATATATGTGTACAATCATTTTTAGACATATTAGAATAAGACAACAAAAACTTACTAAGCTACCAATGACTATTGCCAATACATATTTAGATATCAATATGTATTATAATGCAGTCAAGAAGACATTA